ATTTAACTTTTAGATAGCTATTTTCAATTATTAGTTAAAATTTACTTAAAGAATTATATCTAATAATATTTATATTAAATTTAATTTTTTATTCTGACTAATAGTATTTAATTATTTTAAACAATAGTAATAGTGTTTTCTTTTAAATTTTGTATTATATTTGAATCATTTTACTTATTACTATAATAAAATATTAGAATAATATTTTCACAAAATAACAATAAATTTTAATAATTTGTACCAGTATATTCGTTATGAAAAAAGTTTTGAACAAACTGCTTTTATTAGTAAGACTGAAAAACCTATAAAATTATTAATGAATGTTAACAAAAAAAATTAAAAACTTATTATAATATGAAATCTAATGAAAATCCAAATCCTATTGAACCTCAAAAATGAAAAAAAATTATATAAATATGTTAAAGAAGTTAGAAACAATAACTATATTGAAAATGAATATTCTAGTATAGAGTTTTTGTGTATGATATCAACTGTTTTATTAAAAAGTGAACCTCATGAACTTAGAAAATCAATAGCTGAAATAGTAGGATCTGCTAATAGATACTATTATATGTAATAGTGTTTTATATTTATATATTAGCATTAAATAATAATGACTTTAAATATTTCTATTTACTAATAATATTATATATAGTTATCATAAAGTTTATAGATCTGAAAATAATCATGCCAAATACTTATTTTGATATAACTATTCACAAAGTTATACTTTAGCAAAATGTCTACAAAAGCATGAAGATTTTTATAAGCAATATGATAGAGGATATATTGAAAGATTTACTTATAATAGTGTTTTAAAAATATTATTTGATATGTAAATAAATATAGCTATGATTAATTTTTAGCATAATTTACTTTATAAACATTCTGATCAGTTCAATATTTCTGATGATATTAAAGTTGAAATAAAGAATAATATTCATTGAATGTCTGCAGATATTTTTAGATAAATAGAATCACAAAATCCTAATCTAACTTAAAAATAAGTTTATGCATAGTAGACTTATGCTTTGAAAAAAGAATATATTCAAGATTTTAATAATCAATTGAATTCTGCAAAAATACTTGTTAAAGAAAATAGTTGTAAGATTATTTTAATCAATAATTAATATATTAAATATATAGGCTTTATAATACTATTTTTTAAATTATTAAAAAACAATAAGGAAATTGTCATAGATACTATATATAAAACAAATATTTTAGAATTTGAGTTATATTCAATTATTAGACAATATGATAGTACTGAATTTGCACTTGTTTATTTGTTTATTGAAGGATCTAAAAAAAGTAATAGTGTATATACTGATATTTTAACCTTATTTTTCTAATCTTTATTCGATTTGGGTTTAAATAATATTTGTTTTTTTTTTAGCAGATAAAGATTTTGCATAGATATCAGCTACACTAAAAATTTGAACAAATATAAAAGTTTAACTTTGTTATTAACACCTTAAAAAAGTAGTTAAAAAATATTTTGCTAATAATGCTTATCCAAAAATAATTAATTATAGTTTATCTTCTGCATATTAAGTATTTGACTTTATTCATATTAAATTTTGTCTAATACTACTATCAGAATTAATATTAGCAGAAAAAAAATTTTCTGTTTTTGTCCTAAGGAATTGTACTCTAAAATTATAGAAATAATAGAACTATATATACATTTATATTCTTTAATTCCAAATATTAATAAAAATTATTTATCTACATATGAAATTTGGAAACAATTAACTAAACAAATATATAAATTTTGAGATAATCATAAATTAAGACTTCTTTGAAGTTACCTATAGGAACATTAGTATCAAAAAAAAATCTGAAAATTATAGACACATTCTGTATATAAAATAATTTGTATATTTTGTACTATAATATTATGTAAATCATATCAGAAGGTTATCAAATAGGATTTTTTGCCTAAATTCTTTAGATCATACCTTGATTTATTAACTATATTATAGTTACTTGTTTAATTCTACACTATATACAGCAATATAATAAATATTATTGTAAATATGAAAAGCTTTTATGGCAAAAAGAATTCAAAAAGAAATGGATTATGCTAAAGGAAAAAAAAATTTAATCATGGATATGTAACTAATATTGAAAAATAGATCTATGGATGTCTAGAATTTTTAATCAACAGATTTTTTCTTTGCAAATATTTAATTCAATCATCTAATTTATTATTAATAAGTCTTTTTTTGAAAATATTCAATATCAAGAAATTTATCCTTTTATATTTTTACTATCTTCAAATACTATACAATTAATAAACTCAAATACAAGTTAAAACCTGTTTTATATATTTGTTTTACAAATTTAATATTAAATACTAATGCTAACTAAAAATATAAACTTTATTTAGTTGATTTTACAAATAATTTTACTAAACAAGTTTATCTAAGTTAAAATCTGTTTTTTAAATAATTTAACTTTAATTTACTTTATAATACTAAATTCTTTAGTATTTGTAGACTTAATAATTTGACTTCTTTAAATCTTTGTCATAATATATTAAATATCAAAGTA